TAAATTACTTGAAAGATGTTAAATGGATATTTAAACGTCGGTGTAGTTTAGGTGCTAAAGTAAGTTGTGCTGCCAAGTTTAGGAATATTTTTTTATGTGTTTTCTCATTTTATTTTTGGATCAATTTTTAAATTTAACTTTCATATACATATTTACATGTTTATACTTTTATTTTTCGAACTCCCCGAATGAAAATCCTCAATCCATCACGAGTGTAGTATACGTGTTTGTGGATAACTTGTTTCAACAATAAAATGCTGGAATCATATTCTAAAATACTTGGGGACAATAAACTGCTTCATGAAAGAAGAGATATCCACAATAAAATAAGAGAAAATAATAGGGAAAAAAGTCTAAAATATATCCGAACTTTGATAGTTAGAAAATATTTCTTTTTGAATTTTCCACAAAATTGTTGTAACAATATCGAACTTTGGAAATGATCTTTTACTCCTTACACTATTTAATAGTGTATTTTAAAAGTATATATGTTCCCACGTGGACACCATAAATATTGCATCATTTTAAATAGTAATGTATCTACGCTGGCACATATATACCTTTAAAATACACTATTAAATAGTGCAGATATAAAAAGGTTTGATATTGTAACAATAATTTCAACTAAAGTTAATGTATTTTTCAGACTCTTTTCCCAAAATAATAATATCTAAATTCATTTATCATTTCATAATTTCATTAATATGCTTACTTTTTCCGTCCACATGTTAACTGGTAATTAGGATAGATTCACATTTTCAATATTGTAATTTCTTTCTTTACATCTTAAAATCATATTAGATTGTTTATATTAAATAAAATCAGATTATTTCTTAGATTTGCATTATCAAATTTGAATATATTTTTTTCTCTTCTTCTTTATTTTTTTCCCCGATTCCTTATTTAAATTAATATTATACATTAATTTAAATAAATAATTCCATATACAACCTTAATGTCTCACACATATTTATTTAATAAAAAAATATTTATCTATTATCTGAAAATCATGAAAAGACGTTTTATCATAATTATTATGTTTTTTTTATAAAATTATACGTAATATTAATTAGTATTAATTCACATCTTATATTTTTTAGAGTAGCGACAAGTACACTAATGCTTCATCCAAGAGGAGATATCCACAATATAATAAGAGAAAAAAAAGATCAAATTTACTTGTGTGCTATATGAAATTAAGCTAAAAAATATTTCGTGATTTGGTATTCATATTGAAGAAAACTTATTATAAAGATTGTGCTCCCAACATTTATTTTATTTTTAGAACTCAAATTTGAAACCTTTAATTAATAGCGAATGAATCTCAACTATCTCTCCATTAAGGGAGGCTCAATGCCTTTAAAAATGATGCATACGTCTTAGGCCCCCAAATTTGAAGGGCTTAATTTTTTTAGTAATAATAAAATTATTATAATAAGCCTTGGTTAACAAAACAAATATACTATATTTTTAAATTTGTTTGTCTTATTTAGAACTTACTTTAGTACTTAAACTATACAGACGTTTAAATACCCCATTAACATCTTTGAAGTGATCTTTTTTTTTACACGTTTTTAGGAGAGTACACTCACTCTCTTTGCCACATCATCCCTTATGGGGTATTTAAATTACTTGAAAGATGTTAAATGGATATTTAAACGTCGGTGTAGTTTAGGTGCTAAAGTAAGTTGTGCTGCCAAGTTTAGGAATATTTTTTTATGTGTTTTCTCATTTTATTTTTGGATCAATTTTTAAATTTAACTTTCATATATCATATATGTTTAAGACCACAAGATTAAAAAATATTTGTATATATAATTTGAATCATGGAGTCGCTTGTTTGGCAATGGAATTTCATTAATGACAAGAACAAATACGATACCATTCTTTTTTATTATTACTTATTTAAAAGGATAGTTTTAGTGTTTTACATATATTTAACTTACACCTCATTTAAACTCTATCACTAAATAAATACAGTCACATAGAATAGTGAAAGAATTTTTATTATTAAGAATATTATTATAGTAATATTATATTAATAGCCACAAAAAAACACAAATTTGTACACTTCTTAAACAATTTTATGTAACGAAAACCTTCAGTTAAGGATCTAACTATTATATTACATTTTTATCAAAGGTTTCATAACTGAAATTCAAGATCCTAGAACTTGTCGGTGTATTGGTTTTTGTTTTGTTGTACATCATTTCATGGTGCTAGACTGCTAGTTATCGGAGATGATGTATATACATTTCATGCTTCTAATCCAACTGAAGTCGAAGAAATTTATTCAATGGTCATAGACTCGCCGCTAACTTTAGCTACCTCCAATTAATTAACTCCCATCCTTGGGTTCAACAAGTTTTTGATCGGCGTTTACTTCAATTTTCAATTGTTGATCTTCAATTTCATCCACTTGATCATTGTCACAGGACGATTGTGCAGTATCAGTGAAAAATTGATCAATTAGATCCGGATCAAGGTTGAAATCGATATCAATGTCCAATTCTAATAGCAACTTCTTCTGATTATCACAGAAAATTGATGTAGTAGTAGTAATAGTAGTAGTGTCGATGTGAATTTCATCGTCATAACAATTGTAGGAGTTGGTGGTGGTGGTGGTAGGGACGGCAAATGTACTATCCAAACATTCCTCAATTTCTTCTTTGAAGTTTACGTCTTTGTTTCCTTTAATCCATGGAAAGTCAAAAACTCCTGTTGTTTCTGCACCTGGACCTGTACTTGTACCTGACTCATCGTCTTCATGACATTCCTCTGTTCGCATAAAATCCTTCGCATTATCCCATTTGTACCTATTTTGATCAAAATCATCATCCTCATTCATCATCCTCATCCTCATGACCTGGTGTTTCTTCCTGTTGTAAATCGTATTCAACGTTTCTCTCCCTCTCTTTCTATTATTCTCCATTTTTTCTACCAAAATGCAAATCCAAATACTCAAATAAAATTTTGAAGATTTTATACGTAAAAATGGTAACGGAGAAGAAAGTTTTTTTAAAATAGTAAGTTATGATGATGAAGAAGTCACATACAAACGCTTTTTAATAAAAAAAAATTGGATCCAAAACTCCATAAAATACGCAAGAAAAAAAGTTTAAATTTGTTATCTGACATTTTCTCGTGACTAATAATTTTTTTTAAAAAACTTCTTCTTTCCTAAATAAATTGCTCTATTAACAGGTCCATACATATTTTGAGAGGATTTAATTTAATTTATTATTTATTTATTTTTTAAAAAAGAAACAGAAAGTTAAAAACAGTTGAAATTTGAAACCGTAGTTTATGCCACATTTGCAAAGGCCAAAAATGCATGCAATTTTTTTCTGTTATTTATTTGAAATTTTGTTTGGATTCTCTTCTTCTTCCTCTTTAATTTGTCCTTCTTTATTTATTTATTTTTTAATTTTACGGGTTTGTGATGAATAGAATATTCCATATCGGTGAATAAATGAAATTTGGGCTCCTTAGATAAATCTTGAGCTAATTTTTGAGATGCGAGTCAAGTCAATAAGCCTAATTAGACATGGTATGATTAGAACCAGACCCGATGTGACAATTGATCCATGAATGTGCATGCATCAGACTGGGCAGTTAACAATTCGAGATTTTGGGACGGTGGCCTGAAATGTTAATAATAGAGTTTGAAATTTAATATTCTTATGGATTTTGGTGATTTTGTTAATATATATCATGTTTTAGCTATTCTAATTTGTACAAATTTACCGTTAATCATTTGTCTTCTTCATTGCTCCGATAGAGAGGTGGACCAAGAATTTGAAGTTTATGACTTTCTATATCGATCTCATGTTAAATCTAGACTAGATTTTGTTCACAGTTCAAATATTTTTAGATATTTAATTAGCTTTTATATACATTATAACTAGGTAAAGGCTATTATATTCACATAAAAGTACATTACCGACCCTCAAGATCCGACCTCTCATGTAGACGGAACACATGCATTACGATAAGGGCATATTTAAGATTTAAACTTGATAAGTTTGATTTTTAACATTCCTAATATTCAATTTTAATGTCATTATATTTTTGACATTCCTATGACTTCAAACCCGATAGATTTAACTTTTAAGATTTTTAATATTAAATTCGCTATACTTTTTGAATTATGTATTCAAATCTAATATTTTTTAGTTGTTACCATTTTCAGAATTTGTGTATAAGTTATGTTTCATATTGAACGAAAATACTGAATTCTGATAAATCTGATGCAATTGAAACTCAAGATGCATCTATTAGTATTTGGAGAATATCAACTTAGCATTGAAACATTTTGTTTATAGAAAGAATCTTTTTGCTAATAAAACACCCCTTTTGGATTATGCTAATAAAACTTCAATGAACAATTCTTTTTTTTTAAAGTTTGTGATTATCATGAACTCATAAACTTTAAATTGTGGCTAATTCTATATACTACTAGCTAATTCTCTTCTATTATATATATATAAAGGCATAAGAGCAAAGGCCTATTTAACGCCTTTCTAAAGGTAAGCAGTTAAGTTGGCTTTGAAAAGTTTACTAAGGACCGGATTAAGAATAGATTATATCATTTTTCGTCATTAAATAATGTCACAAATCAACAATTGAAAGATAAACCTACAAGAAAAGTAGAGCTACAATGTAGAGATAGAGTAAATGATAAAGTATGATTATTACATAATAAGTAAATACATAATGAGGAAAAAAGTTATGATAATGACGCGATCACATCAAATTGTTCGATACATAAAACGAGATTTTTCGCCATTATATAACACGGATTTAATGATACGATGCAATAAAACATTAAGTAATAAGCAAAACAAACAAGATATTTAAACTAACACCAACAATAAAATACTATATGTAGCAACCATATCCAAACGACACGCTATATAAGTAAATATTATATTTAAACTAATACCACAATAAGATACAATAGGTAATTAGAACCATATCCAAACAACAAGGTGTGTATATATAAAAATCAAAAGAAACATTATATTTAAACTAATACTAATAGAATACGATACAATAAGTAACAATCATATCTAAACAAGAAGTTGTATAAGTAAAAATCAAAACAAATATTATTTTTAAGCAAACACCACAATACGGTACAAGGAGGGAAGACAATTCCTTATGTGATTGATCAGCTGAAAATCCCCTGTTTCTTCTAGAAAAATCTAAACCATTCCTCCAACGACACTGTAAAGTGAAATGACGAAACTCAGTAGAGAGTATATGCAGACCTTACCTCTACTTTGTGGAAGTAGAGAGATTGTTTCTGAACAAGCCTCGGCTCATCAAGTGTAATAATGAGAAAGGAAAAATTGACAACCAAGAAAACATGACAACTAATAGAAAAACGGTACAGAGCATTGAGGAAAGGTACAATATATAACTTCAACCAAACTGTAGAATTCAATAGGCATAGTTAAGTTTTTTTTTTTTTCTTCCTGTTTGCAACACTAACTATATATATTGTATGTTGACAGATAGATATATTTACCTGAATCGAAGGCAGTAACTTTAAGTTTGTTCCTCCCCAAATCCTCGTGCTTTTCCTGGATCTTCTCAGCAAAAGCCACCAAGGAAGGTTCACATTTGTGTAACTCAATCAGCTCCAGTGTCTTGCTATCAGCAAATCCTTGAGGAATCTCTTCTAAGAAGTGGCAATCTATGATAATTATGCGCTCAAGGCTGGGGAAATGATCATGAGAGCCTGTGGTGGTTTCCCATTTTTCAAGGAGGAGATTATCAAGGAGCAAGAACCTCAACTTCGGGAACCCAATCTGGTCTGTTGCTTTCCACTCGTCGCCAAATAACGTACCACCCTTCAGTTGGAGCACCTCAAGTTCGGGCAACTTGCTGATAATGGATATGTATTCCCACTGTAGACTTATGTAGCTAAGTTTCAACTTCTTGAGTTTTTGTGGAAAAGAATCTGGACTTGTAAGACTAAACAACCTGGTTTTATCTGTATCATAAAACATTTTAGCTGTAATACTTAGTGACTCGAGATCTTGTAAATATTTAAGATTATCTGTCCATTTAAGATCGGTAGGATATTCCTCCTTCCTTCCGTAAATGGCCAATTTTTTCACTTTCTTAATCCCTTCAAATATTTCCTTTGTACAACAACAAGGGCTCAAACCAGAAACACACTGTAAGTTTCCGAGAACCTTATCTCCAGGAGAAGATAGATAAATGCCTCTTGCAGAAAGATGCCTTAATTGTGACATTTGCCAAATATCTTTTGGCAAAGCTACAACACTATGTAAAAAATATCCAGATGAACCTTTATTAAAAATGAGAGACTGTAGATTCCAAAGATTGGAAATTGGTAGTTCCACACATGTCGCACTAGGCCACATAGCCAAATACTTTAAACAAACAAGCTCTCCAGTAATTTTACTTGTGATGATACTGTCCTCCATGTCCAATACTCTTAGTAGTTTGAAATGAAAAAGATCTTTGCTAAAATATATATAAGATATGTAAAGAGAGCGTATTTTAATAGAAGTATACCGACTGGAGTAACTAATATTAAAGTCTGATTGAATTGACATCCACCTGGGACCTTTATGGAAATTTCTGTCTAAATGAGTGGTAAGGTCTGGACCAAGAACATACAAAAGATTCTCATTTTCAGCTTCCTTCAAGCACAAATCATGAAAAAGATCATGAATCCTACATGTCTTAATTTGCCCATCCAAACTTCGCTTGTCAACAACAATAACAAGACTTTTCCCGATAAGATCATGTAAAACACGAGCAGCTACTTGTTCAAATTCCTCAACTCCCTTTAGATTTACGAGTCCTTCTGCAATCCATAATCTAATCAACTTCTTCACAGAAATCACATGGGCTTTTGGGAAAAGTCCGAAATGTAAAAAGTAAGCTTTCATAAGAGAAGGAAGATGATTGTAGCTCAAAGCAACAACTTTTAAGCATTGTTGGTAATCATCATCATTTACTAATGAGCTTACACTTTGAGCTACTTCCATCCACTCATCCAGTTTACTCTTGCTAGAGAGTATACCAGCAACTGCAGTAATCATTAGCGGTAATCCTTTGCAATTTGTTACAACTTCCTCTCCAACCTTCTCGAATTCATCAACCTCTGACCCTCGAATACTGTAATTTTTCCCAAATGCCTTGTGGTAAAACAGATACCGACTTTCCTCCTGTGTCAGAAGACGCATCGGTACCAAACCATCTTTAGTATTGCGAGCAGCATAATCAGCAACCTCCCTGTCTCGAGAAGTCAACAAAATTCGACTCTTGTTATCACAATCTGGAAACCAATGTGAAATTCTATCCCAATCTTGATTGCTCCATATGTCATCCACAACAATCAAATACTTTTGTCCCTTCAAACCTTGTTGTACGTGCTCAGCTAGTTTTCCAATATCCATTGTATTATCATTCCCGTCTCCCATTCTAATAACATCACGAAGGAGGACTAGGAGCAACTTTCTTAAATCATAGTTGTTAGACACAGTAATCCAACCGCGAATTTGAAAGACCCTCTTGATAGAGTTATCGAATAATATAGTTTTGGCGAAAGTTGTCTTACCTATGCCCGGCATCCCCACAACAGAGACCACTTCCAGTTTATTTGATCCGGAGCCTCTGGTAAGTCTTTGAACCATCCTTTCTCTTTCTTCATTGTACCCTTCCATAACGTTCTCACAGATTGAAGCATCTAATCGTGGAGAAGCGCTACTTTCAGCTTCTGGACAATTGTTGATCTTCTGCTTGATGATCAGCTCTTCATTGACAGAATCAGTTACTTGTATAACCTGTTGAGAGACTTTATCAAGATTCGCACGACAACATTCATCATCATCCAGATCAATAATAAGTTGTTTCATTAGTGAATCAACTTCATCTTCTGCATCAAGTGCAACATCTTTGATTCTTCTTTGCAAATCCTTGGTAATAATTGGTTCTCCGCCATCACATTTGCCAGTTAGAGACACTTGCAGAGTGCCAAACATCTCGTCGAGTGATTTCAGTTGTAGCTTATGAACCTCTTCTACGCCTACTAATAAGTTGGACCGTAAAAGCTTGTCTATGGTTCCCAACACAGAAGTTAGTGCAGCGTAAGTAGCGGCCATCTCTACCTATATACAGACAAGTTTCACAAATATTATCAATTGAAATAATATCACATTTCAGAAATATTTTTGAGATTTCACATCAACATGCAATATGTATTACTGCTGAATGGTGATTTAAAAAAAATTATAATATCTTAAATTATGTATTTATATATTTTTTGTAATAAATTAGCCACGGAAAATAATCATTAAGCTATAGAGTATCAACAATTAGAAGATATATTTTACTAATCTAATGCCAACTTGTAGCATTAATAAATCAAGGGTATGTGGACAAGACTTTTAACAACTCATAATTTGTCTCTTTTTGGCGGTTCACATTCTAAATCACCTAACGTTATAACAAATAAAAAATTGTAATAATTTAAGGAAAAATTGCTCCCCATATGTATTTATGGTTATATTATATTTAGTAGTAATAATATAATATGAGTATTCATATTTAATTTACTATGTATAAATGACCGTTAAATGCTTTTGTAATTCTAGATATTGTGACTTTAACTCAATTTGTTCTAAATTTTTTTGCAGCAATTCAAAAAGAAAATTATTACCATTAAATATGTTTTTTATTATAGCGACATAACTTATCTCTGTTGTTTATGCTAAATCAATATATGAATGTATATAATGTATTATTATATACATTCTTACATATTCTTATTTCATTTAATCATTTAATTATTATATATTCTTAGTATTTTGTTTAATCACTTAATTATGATAAATTAATATGATCTAATCTGAATATTGACTGTGTGTATATATTTAAATTTGGTAAGGATCCTCTTAAAAAATTAATAACGTCAATTATATGATTAATAAAACATGGGAGGTTACGTTGGATATCACTTTCATATATAACCACTCATCATTTTTAATTTCATATGAACTTTGAACCCTAATTTAGCTGATATATTGATTATTAAGGGTTCATTTCATGTAAATATTTATTGAGTTTGGTCCATATAAATTTAGATTAAATTTTAAATTATTTTGATTAGATGACTAATGTTGACTGAAAAAAATAAATAGACTAATGTTGACTGTACAAATTAAATCAAATAATTTTAGAGCATTTTTAATTGCAACACATATTAAGATATTCATTCATTACACCTAATCATGATGTAATTTGGTTAGGTAAGGAATGATGTGATATGGTAACAAATATCTTTACCGTCATAAAAGTGACTCACATATAAATCTATCATTACAAAAAGAAACAAACTTCTAAAAATATTATAAATATCGTATCTCCCCCAAAAATGTAAATACGAAATACACAAAGATGATTTATTTTTAAAAAATCACAGATAATTTTAGATAAAATCTTAATTAAATGATTAACTATATACAAACACATCTATATAATTTATTGAGAAATACGATTTATTATATAATTTATTTGACATTAAAAAACCAAATTAGTTAAAGTTTGTAATGTTAAGGAAAAATGGTCTGGTGGACACTTGTACTTGTATCAATTTGTATTGTGAACAATTCTAGTTAATTATTTGTCATTTGAACCCTTAAACTTAATTAAAATGAGATTTTTAAACCCCTTTGATCGTTGACCAGGCCTATGTGGCATCTGTTTTGCTGAGTAAGATATGGCGCGTGCTATCACACATATAAAAGCAAGTGGAAGCAATGAATTTGCTTTAAAAAATATTAAATAATAAAAAGAAAAAGAAAACGTCCCCAACCCCACCATTTTCTTGAAGGCAAAGAATTAGATGCAAATTTTAAAGGTGTCATCATAAACCTCATCAGCCTTCCAATATCAAATTTAGGGGTCTTGACTTTTGAGGATTTTACCTTTCGAATATAATCATTTTTAGGGGAAATGTGCTGAAGTTGTTTTCTTAATTTTCCTGCAAATTGATTCATGGATGAATTTTACAATCATCTTCATGCGGATCTAACAATGATTGTCATATCTTGCTTGGTTTCCCTTCAAGTCACAGAAACTTGCTTGATCTCATGATCGCAATCATCTTTCTGCAGATCTGACAATGCATTGAGATTTATTTTGACTATGCATACTTTTCTTTTTCTTTTTTCTTCTACGAAGACCCCAAAAATGCCCCAGTCTATTTTTGCAAAGTTGTTCTAATTATGTTTAATCTCTTCAAATAAAGTAATGTCTCTTTTTGGTGTGAAAAAAGATTGAAGAAGAAAAGAACAGGGGATATGGAGATTGTGTTGACAATGATTGAAGGTTAGGGGAGGTGGAGGAATGGTGAGAGAAACAAAAACTTTATTTTATTTGGTAAAATAAATTTTTTATTGATTTTGTCTTTTGTTTAATATTTTTTTATTAATAATTAAAAAAATATTTATGAAGAAAATTATGACATGTCATTAATATATGACATGGATATGACATGTCATTTATGCAAGGGAGAGTGAGCTACACACATAGCTGGAGGGATTTAAAAGTCTCATTTTAATTGAGTTTAAGAGTTCAGATGACAAAAGGATAAGTAAAAGGGTTCACAATACAAACTGATACAAGTAGAAGGGTCCACCAGACCCTTTTGCCTAATGTTAATAATATTTGCAGAAAGTTGACTCTTAAAATGAGAAACAAGTCTATATATCAAATTCACAATATTTTAATATTTCATATGCTGAAGTTTCCTAGAACTTATTTGACTTTGCCATTTGTAATTACTAATTACTAATATTATTATTACTTATAATTACTACATAGTAGAAGAGTCTACAAGCATGCATGTCTTCGTAAATATGCCTGCTCGTATGATCCATAAGGTGTAAGTTCTAAAATTTGAGGCGTAAGCCTCGAGCATAAAAACGTAAGTCCGGGACATAAAAAATGTAGGTCCAAACGTTTTTAATTTATTTTTTTAATCTTTTTTGCGTTAAATCATATTTTTTATTATTGATGTAATGCTATTTCTCAAATAGTAATTATAATATTTTTTTTCTTCATTATTGATTGTTGATACTTGTCTCAAATAAAAATCATAATATAATTTCTATATATTATAGGTTATTTATAAAAAAATATTTGTAAAATCATTGAAAGGTTTACTTTTACTTATTTTATTAGTAACAAATTATAAAATTGAATATAAACGAGACTATGCCCCGTAGATCCATAAGACTTACGTCCCGTGTCTCGGGACTTACGTCTTGCCTCGTACTGTATAAAACCCCCCGCCTCACACCCCCACCTTTTAAAACAGTGTCTCGGGACTTACGCCTTGCCTCGTACTGTATAAAACCCCCCGCCTCACACCCCCACCTTTTAAAACACTGGGTGTACCTTTTCTTTATTAGACCAAAAAACCAATTAACATTTACATAATGACTCATATGTCCTATAAAAAATGGAAAAATTAGTAAAGTACTCAAAATTCCTAACATAATTAGCTAAAACATCTACATTATAAAATAATTATGAAAAATGTCATTATGTCATTATTTTAGCAAATATAATGTATCCTAATATAATTAATTTACTATCCATTTATTTCTCAAATCAGTTACCTAGTTTGACTCTACTACCAATTAATTTACTATCCTTTTATTTCTCAAATCAGTTACCTAGTTTGACTCTATTACCAATTAAAAGTAAAAAAAAAAAAAAAAGACCCCACATTTTAATATTCTCTCTCTAGGTTTTTACCCAAATCGCTCCACTCTCTCTCTATTGTTTCCACCATTGTTATCTCCTTCCTATACTTGTTTAAGAAATTTCTTCGACTTATACGATTTCAACATCTGGCAATTCTTCATGAAAATTGGGGTATAATATCTGATTGCTCTCTCTTACGTCTTATCAGGAGTCAGACCTGCTCCACAACTTCTCTGCTTATTGGGCTCGGATGGTTTTCCTGTCGGGTTCTAGGTCTCCGTCGCCGCTCTATGGATGGTTCCGAAAATACTCTTCTTGAATCCATGGTACTTGATGAATCAATTGTCGGATCGAAGTTCTTAATTGTCCTATCATTCTCAATTCTAAATAACCACAATACAATTTATTTACATATTCATTATTTAGGTATTCATCCTAATTGCATCAGTAAAACAAATTTTGTATTTTATTTTCTTATTTTGTATTTTCAATATCACTTTGTATACCAAATAGTTTGTATTTAGATTTGATATCGTATTTGTCCTAATGGTATTGCCATCAAGTTTTGTATTTATACTTGATTTTGTATTCATTCTCAATTCTAAATAACCAAAATACAGTTTATTTATGTTATATATGAATTCATCCTAATTGCATCAGTAAAACAAATTTTGTATTTTATTTTTCTTATTTTGTATTTTCAATATCACTTTGTATACCAAATAGTTTGTATATAGACTTAATTTTGTATTCATTATCAATTTCGAATAATCAAAATACAGTTTATTTATGTATTCATTAGATAAGTATTCATACTAATTGCATTAGTAAAATAGATTTTGTATTGTATTTGGCTCATATTGTATTTCCAATATCACTTTGTATACCAACTAGTTTGTATTTAGATTTGAATTCGTATACGTCCTAATGATATACATTTAGGCTTTGAATTGTATAGTCTAACTTTTCAATTGAAATGAGTATTTATCATGCTCAGTTTGTAAGAAGAAGTTCATCCGAAATTCCGAATACACAAAATCATATTTAAAGAAGTTCATCCGAATACATTTCAGATAAAATTATATTTAAAAACGTTCAAACAAGTAAGGATCAAAAACTAAGGAAAATATTTTTACCTTTTTTGAAATTTTCTTCCATGATTCTCTCCATTATGTTATTAAAAATTTGTATTCTTTCAAATTAAATAAATACAATCAACATTATAACAAATCAAAATATTGACATTTTAAATAAATATTGAAAGTGTTGACAAGAGACCTTATTAGATGCTAAAATATTGTTGTTTTGAAATTTTTTCCAAAAACAATTACTACTGTTTTGTTGAACTATGTGGGCCCAACTCATGGGCTCACTTTTCTATGTCGACTGCCTCATTCCTTTTTTTAATTTAAACATT